TCACTCACTCACTCACTCACGCACTCTCGCGCTCTCTCTCTCTCTCTCTCTCTCTCTCACACACACACACACACACACACACACACACACACACACACACACACACACACTTACTCACTCACTCACTCGCTTTCACTTGCATGAGCGCGCGCGCTCTCTCTTTCTCTGGCTCTCTCACTCACTTTCTCTTTCTGTCACGTACTCCCTTTCTCGATTTTTCTCCTTCACTAGTTCTAACCTCCGGTTTTCTCTTTCTCATTCCCTTTCTCTCCCCTCTCTTCTCTGTCTGTCTGTTTTCCTCGCTTACGCTTTCTCTTTCTCTCTCTCTCATCGGCGAGAAAATATCAAACGTTATGAGAAACATCGCGGGAAAGGCGATACTTTGCTATCTATAACACACGTATTATTATAACCTGCCCTCGCAGACCATACACGTACACGCACACAAGCGAGCGCACGCAAACGCACGCACATGCACACGTCCGGTGCGCAAATAACGGGGAAAATCACAAACGCTCGTGTTTTCTCGTTGAAATCAGCAATAGTCAATCAGCAACCATTCGGTAAAATTTGAATATAACATGAAACTACAGAATCCAGATAAGACGGGATACCAGAGAAGTGTTACCGAAAGGAGGTGTTGATCGTAACCGCTGAGCGCGGATCTTGCACGCAGTTTCGCGGCAAGGCGCACGCGACCGCGGGAACGTCCTACGAAAGTATACAGCGCTGGCAGCTATGGATCCGTGCGCCGAATGCATAGGCCGGCGCACGGTTCTATAGCTGCCAGCGAACAGTCCGGAATTTTAGCGGGGGACACACAGGGCAGACATTTGGGACGTGGGAGGAACTCGACACTTAGATGGAGGGTCGTACAGATGGGGGGGGGGCGAGAGCGAAGCTTTTAATTTCGCCGTGGTTCCATTTCCGTATGGTCTTAGGCGTTTTCACTATAAGTTCCCAACATAAAAAGTTCCAAACATAATAAAAATCGGACCATTATTTAATATTCTAAAGACTAAACACACAACACCATAATAGTTTAACACAGTTTCTCCTCGTCGTGAAAAAATCTATATGGACAGAGATTATCAGCAATCCGACAAGAACCACGTCGTGTAATCTTTAACATTAAGCTATAAGTATATGTAAGCGTTTTAATAATTAAATATTTGATGTAAGTAATCAAATAAGTGAAAGTAAAGTATAGTAATAACTTATAAATACATAACCTCAAGCACTGCATCCGATACATTAACAGTATTTATGTGAACTACGGATCCTGCTCCACGTTCGGCTGAGATGGGTTGACAGACGATGTATGACATCCAAATAGTTCCCTCACTGCTAGACGAAAGCCTTTGTACTTGTAGAAGTAAATAATTGGATTTATTAGTGAATTAGCTAACAGCGCATTATTTCGAATGATACAAAGTGCTCGAAATCGGAACGGGAAGCTGTGGATTAAGATGAAGTGAAGAACGTGCGGTGTAAGCAGAGTAAACGAAGTGCCGACAACTGTAAGTAGGATCTTGGACATCTTCAGCGTAGCGTTGAAAGNACTCTTCACTCTTTACTCTTTACTCTTTACTCTTTACTTTTACTCTTTACTTTTTAATATTATATTTGGGTTGTAAAATAATACGAAGTCGCACATTCAGGATTTTTACTGCCGTCCTTGATAGGACCATTCCCGATTAAAATTTGTCAAAAGTCTGATCAAGATCCTGCGATTCGTGGCGGGAATTTCAAAATATGTAAAAACATTTACTTAATCACGACAACAATCAGATATTGTTCAGGAAGCGTCCCGATTCAGCCGTTTCCAGCCGAATTCGTCCCGATTCTCCAGTTCTCAATCCGATTCTGATCCGATTTGTATATTTCGCATGGTAAAAAACGACCAAATCTGTCCCGACAGCGTCCCGATTCTCCCGAATGCGATCCGACAGAGATCAGACAGTGACCCGACAGTGAACCGACGCTGACGGAAGACATGCGTTCGAAAACCGTTAGTCACGTGATAGTCCCGTCCTATAAAAAGAATCGTGCGAAACGGCTGATTCTCACTCAAGTCTACATGCAAGG